CCGGAAGAAGAAGACAGAGTAACAATATAANCCAATACGAAGCCTAGTTACGAGAATCAGATGTTACAGAACACAGTTTCATAAATAGGCCAACACATTTTGACCTGGACCATCTGACATTTTCCCGACCGTCATTTGGACAATATATTCAATGTCCTCTCATTTCGGTAAATCTCTGTAAAAAATATATGCGCGTGACTGGAAGATATGGTCTTCCACGTATTATATAAGTCTTTTTCCGTGTGATGGGGATTTTTGTCTTTACCTATATACGGGCATTAATGATAACATATTCAAGTACAAAAATAAAACTAGAGCTGTGAACAGCACTGAGTGTGGCCCGTGATACTTTGCCTGATATCTGTAAGACTTTTTTGAACTTCAAACCCTCTCAAGTCCGGTGTTGACTCGACCACTTTTAGTAAAGAGCCAAGCTAAATGAAATGTTTTGCGAAAGGGTAAATTCAATCTTGTATCAATATAACTTATCGTATGGTTATTTTAATAGCTTCATGGTAGCTATAATATACAGGTATGTGTGAAATGTGAACATTATGTGACGGAATTTCTTTACTGATATAAACATGATCTATACATGTCCCACCTTCAGTCGTGTAATGCTGAACAAGTTGTTGAAAACCAAATTTTTGAAAACAATTTAGTATAGACAAATGACCCTCCAAGATATTTTGGTTGAAATCCCCCACAATAACATAGTCTGAACCAGATTCTTGTAATTCAACTAATAATCTTTCTAACATTGGGAGAAATAAATCTAATCGGGTGGTCTATAGATAACAATTACGTTAATATTTTTATCCAAAATATTCAAAGCAATGTGTTCTATATTCAAAACTCCCAATTTTAAAATGTTGACATTTTTGTTTTGCTTTTAATATACTCCTACTCCTCCGTGCCCCTTTTCTTTCAAAAATTTGAAATCTCTAGTGTCATCATAGCTGTTTGCTTTTATTCCCTCAGCCTAACTAACACCAATAACCAAAACTGTTGTGTGTATCTTGCAGATAGAGCTCTATTAATGGTACAGAAAATGTATCAAAAATTCACTACTCTATATGAGTGTATGTTAAATTATTGTCAGTGAAAATTGAAAAAAAAAAAGTTATTTTTGTAAGTGTTAAAAGATTACATAATCAGATTAATCTGTTTATGACCCAAACTACTTCACACCTGCATGTCAAAAGTTCATATGGATTGCTTTCCTATCATATTATAACACCTGTCAATCATTTTAATCCCCACAATCTACAGATTTTTATCACATTTTTTATAAACATTTAACACTTTTATGCCTATTTTCACAAATTCAATTTTGTATTAAGCCACCCATGTCACATATCGTTGAAAAGAGAAAATTGAGTAGATCCTGAATATACAAACCATATTGCTAGGAGTTAATTACATTGTAAGTTAGAACCCTCAGTGGAAAAAAAAACCAATATTTTTAAAACTTATTTTAATGGATTATTGTCATATATCATTGAAAAGATAATCAAAGGGAATTACAAAATTGAAAAAAATAATTTTCTGTGTTTATTAGAAAAGGTCATACAGCCGTCCAAAGTTGTCAAAAATGTTAATTTTTGAATGGCTATTAAACCGGAAGTTAATATTTTTCAACCAATATGAGTACACCTGTGGATAGCTGAGGTCAAGAACATCCTACAGTGAAATTTTCAAGGTCATCGAAGGTCAAGGTCACATGGTGAGGCCTTTTGAATTTTCAAAAAATTCAAACGAATATAAAAAAAAATTCAAAATTCTGTTCTAACAAACTGTAGACAAGGTTACAAGGTTTTAATAGACACCAAAATCATAAAAATTCGGATAAAAAATGGAGGACTAATTAATTTTTTTGCTAAAATGGGTCAGTCCGAGGCGACGGCTTATGCATCACTTCCAGTTTGGATTTTTTCTGCTTAGTGCATTCTAATTATGACTGACAGACAATGTATATGGTTTTTGCCAACATCTGAAATTTACACCAGAAGTGGGGGTGCCAGGCGTGATTTAAAAAAACCGGAAGTTCTCAAGCAAAAACCGGAAGTGATAGAAAAATTTTGATTGTATAAATTTTTATGTATATGTCCTGTGAATTTCAGATCAATCGGATAATTAGCGGCAGAGTTAGACATTTTGAGCTTTTTTGAAAATTTTGGATTCAAATTTTTTTGACAAAAATAGTTAAAAAAATTTTATTTTTAGCCTCACCAGATACGTCTTATAACAATGAACATATTAAAGAAAATTTCAGGTAAATCGGTTCATAAATAAGCCCTACAGACTTGATGCAAAATATTTTCACATTATGCAATGGCACACTTCCGGTTTAGCAAAAATTGAGTTTCAGTTATTCATTTTTGATTCCAGGTCATTTAAAAATGTTTGGCGAAGACAATTATGCTATACCATTTTTGATTTTGTCTGGGGACGTTCCCCAAAAAAAAATAAATAAAAAATAAACATAACGAAAACAAAGCGCAATTATAATATCAATCCGCTCAAAACCGGACAGTTTTTCTACTTATGTACTATACTGGATAAATTTCCACAAAGACCAAAGTGGAGGGAGTTACGTTTATCACAGTTCCGCAAGTACTATGCAACATATCACGGTATGAATGGCAGCCATAGTTTACCGGAACTATGTCAATATTGTCAAGTGATCATATGATTACGGTAGTTTAAACATCAGTTGTTGGTCAAAAAACATAATCATAGTAATATATCACCAAAAAACATAAAAATAGTAAGATATGGATTATGGACTCAAAATGATGATAAAATGTGTCATTGGTAAACTGTAAGTAAGTGTCAGAATTATCCCA